ACTGTTCATTTCAAATGACATCGCATTATCCCTTTAGCTATTGAACGCTGATAGTCACTAACTTGTATTGTTTATCAAGCATTTATTTGTTTGTTTTTTCGTAATGAATAATTCAGTTACAAATCATTTGATTATCAAATACGAATGAGTTATAAATGATTAGCTAGAAATGTTGTACATATAAAAATTCTCTGATGAAGTTTAAACCATTATAGCTCATTCGTTTAATTATAATCCATGAAATGTTTACAGATATATTTGTAGTGGCTGTGCTTCGTTGACCACTCACTCTTGTAACCGTTATCATATAATCATCAACGCTGTTTAAAATCAGAAGGCAAAGAGAAGCAGCGACTACAGTTTTATTAGCAGATAACTCAGACCACAAAGCAGAGAGGCAAATGAGTAAGTCAGCGAATCGAAAGAGCGGAGTGTGTAGGTTTAAATGTACATGTATATATATATAAGGATACGGATGAATCATCGAGTCAATTAAGCAGCTAATAATAAAGCTAGCAGAATTAAATATATGAGTAGGCGGTAAGCAATGTTCAAGCATACATATTTCATACAAGCACAACACTAATAAAGGCACAATAAATTGTCATAGTACGGATGACTTTGTTCGCTAAAGAAGTTAACAAAAGGACTTGACCGAATTAAATGAGAACAAACTCAATTGCATGTGAGGTGCTATATATTCTACGTCTTTTTAATGTGTAGTTTTTTTATCACTAAGTCACATCTACTGAAATATGATTGAAAACATGGAATCATTAGACTCATACTTTAACTTGATCTAAAATATCCACATAGTTATCAACTTAGTCCTATCTGATTTTAAAGGATTACCAGTTTATTATCATTAAAAAAGAAAAAAAAAACTAGTTTCAAATCAATGAATACTTAAGAAAGAAACGTTTATGTTTTGTTCTTTTTGTTATACCCCAAAAACCTCCACTGTCTTTTATTTATTATTTAATTATTGTTAAGAGATAGAAATATAAGTTTCTATGCCAGAAAAAAATTAAATATTTTTTTTACAAAATTGACTGACCTTTATTTTTTTATTTTGTTTTTCTTTCAAACAAAAAATGAAAACAGAATTTTTTTTGTTTACTTCTTATCAACTGACGTATTTTCTTTTTTTATTATTTTTTTTCTTTTGCTTGCCTCTATTAATTAATCTTATGAATGTGTTTTGTTTTAATCCGCTTGCTCAAACTCTCAATTCACTCGTTCAAAATTACTAATATAGAATAGAGCTTATTTTCTATTTATCTTTCTCATTAATCTTTTTCTTTTACGCTTCTCTTAATCAACCTTCATATTTTTAATAGGGTCGAATTCATATTCATATATACATCACTGTGAAAATAAATAAATAAAGAAAGACAAATTAATCCTATTTTTTCTTCTTCTTCTTCTTCTTCTTCTACTTCTCTCGTGTTCAATACGAATTCCCTTAACTTGTCTCCATCGATCGTGTTTGTCTTTCTACTGTTTCCTTTTTTCTCTCTCTTTTTTTTGCTCTCACTTTAATGATCATAAAATGTTGATTCAAAATGATTTAACTGAACAGTAATAAAAAAAAAATAATCATGAGTTTGAATAGTTAGAAATTTTATTATTCACAATGAATAGATGAACTACTTTCATTCTTATTTATGTTGGTATTCCGATTCCCTATAATAATAATAATAATAATAATAATAATAATAAGTAGTATTAATAATTTGTTCTAGAAATTAATTTGATTAAATTTCAGGTCATTAATTTTATCTGTAATGGAAATTAATCTGGATTATATGAAATATGTAAAGGATATTGGTTATCTTAGAAGTGTTTTTAATTTTCTGTTAGTAACCTACAAGAAATTAAGGATCTTATCAGTATTTGTTGTGTTTCTTTTTTGTTCAACTAAGAAATCAATATTTCCTTTTCAACGTATTAAGGAATAAATTTTTTGTAAAAAAAAATTTCCTTTAAAATTCTTAGCACATTAAAATGAATGATATACGTAGAACACTTTAAAGGATTATTTTACAAATTTATAAGATGTATATAATTCATCCAGTTTTTTTTATCGGGTTATAAACTCTACAGTTCCCAATAGTATAGAATAATGAATATAATAGAAAAAATGTATTAAAACCAATTAGTTACAACGTCGAACCAGGCATATATGTGCATAAGTTCAACTTTCCATACCTCATTAGCACAACAAAATGAACACCGGATTCATAAAAGTAGTTAATTCAGTGGTGATAATATTAAAGGAAGATTGCATATAAGAAAATAGTACAGGAAGAAAGAATTAGTTCGTAGAAAGAAAGATATGAAGTAATTTTTAATCTCGGTGATCAAGGGAAGACAAAGAGTGTAAACAGCTACGCCATTGTGATAGATTCTCCGCTATGTCATCTAGAGTCTCCAACCATTGGTTACGATAGTCACGTGGACCTCAACCAAATTGTTTGCATCTACCAACATGGCTCAGACTAGAAAATAGTGACTTCAATGACTGATGCCACGTTTTGGTTTGGTCGCCCCTAACTTTCTTACGACCATCTCCAACACCAGTTAGCATTGCACGTCGTGGTAATCGGTGTTTAGGCGTACGTAACACGTGGTCCAACCATCTCAGTCGATGAAGACTCACAACTTCATCAACTGATTTACCATCATTCTCTAGTACTCTGCATGTAGCCTCACTATTACTTATCCAGTGATCCCAGCAGACGCCAGCAATATTTCTGAGGCATCTGTGGTCAAATATTAGTAGCTTACGAGTGTCTTCTACTCTTAATGGCCATGTTTCGCTGCCGTAAATTAAAACAGAACGGACTGCCGCACAGTATACTCGTCCTTTTATTGATAGACGGATATCTCGCCTTCGCCATAGGTGACAGAAGTCGGCAAAAGCCAGACGAGCTTTTCGAATCCGTGCTGAGATTTCGTTAGACATCAACCCATCTGGGCTGATTCGACTTCCAAGATAAGTGAAGTTGTCAACGCGTTCGACCAAAAATTTCAGTCTATGTTAAACAAGTTAAACAAAAGTGGAGAAAGTGTATAGTCTTGACGGACACCACATGAGGTTGCAAAAGCGGATGACAGTTCGCCATAAGCTCTGACTCAACTAGTAGTGTTCGAGTCAAGAGCCTTCACAAGGTTTATGTACTTCTGAGGTACGCCTTTCAATGACAGACACTGCCACAGAATCTCGTCTAGAGAGTCAAATGCTGCTTTAAAGTTAAAAAAGACCACCCTTGTTGGACGCCGATAAGCATGCCTGTGTTCTAGAACCTGATGAATGGTAAATATATGGTCGATGCAGACACAATGTATTAAAATAACAATGAAATACGATAATAATAGATAATAAATAAATACTTCAAGATAATCCAATTTACAAACAAAGTGTATACTCTAGACAATTAATATACAAAACTATCAAGTGTGAATAAGAACCAATCTTATTACGTAATTCAACATTGAAACCATAGCCATTTAAATGTCTAGTTCCAACGTCGATTGTGTTCAGAAATAATCTGATACTTAAATTAAACTTATTATCCGAATTGGTATGATACATGTTGTTTTACACATTGTTTTTTTAATTATTATTATTATTATCTTTGTTTTTCTTTGATCTTTCAATTCACTTAATCGACCTTTATTTTTCATATATAAATGCTATTAAGTAAATGTGTGATCCGATTCATTGAAATATATGGAGTTAATATGTCATATAGCTAGGATAAACCTCGTTTTTTTTCCTTTCATTCCATTACCTACATTTATGAAAGAGATTAATTGTTGTAAATAAAATACTTTTCAAACATTTCATTTCTTAAGCAAAGATAGATAGTGGCTAGCTGCAGAATCCAGGACGCACGTTTCGTCCTATTTGGGACTCGTCAGCTGGATGTACCTGCATCCCAGAGTTGATTTTCACTCCGGGACTCGAACCCAGTACCGTCAGCTTCAAATGCCATCGCGTTATCCACTTAGCTACTGAGTCCTGATAGCCACTATCCACCTTTGCTTAAAAAGCTTGTGACTTAAGGCTATGTATCTAGGCAATCCGCACAGAATGCACATATGCCAACATGAGACTGATCAACTGCAGTCCTAAATAACAATCGAAATATACAAGTAAAACAACATCAAATGAATTTCATTACTTAGTTGACAACAAAGATTGAATCTGTGATTATTAATAGAAATTTTATACTGATACAATTTCCTTTTCAACTTAAACATTTCTAGAACAGTAACTATTTATATGATTCAGTCAATCTATTATCTATAATTTCAACAATATAAATTTACGACTGTTTTTAGTTTATCGCATAAGATACTTTTTGGATGATCTAATAGTCAGCTAACTTGTATTACAATCTAATTGTTACTCAATAAATACAATATCAATAGAAATCAGTGTAGAGGGATTTGTGGAAATTGTAAATTTTCATCGTTGAAATCATAAAGTGATCTTGATGAAACCATTGTTGAAAATCTTGAGTTAATTGATGTCTGTTTGGTTCTAGTATGGAACTACTGAGTATAGTGCATCCATGAGCCACATTTAGGATTTGAGTCCAAGGCCCCAGGTCTTATGCACGAATGCTTAACTTGTAGACTACCAAGCCAACACCCACCGGTATCAATGTATAACTTCACTCAATTAGTAATATTTCTCTACCGTCTTTCACTGTCTATAGTGGATAATCGTTTCACGCCAGACATAGCTGGACTCCACGCTCAATAAATATTCGTCGTCTATATTACAGTTGGGAAATATGTTTAATTCCTCAGGTGAATACGTTTTACTGGATATTCCATAATGCATAAATTGTATTAATCTTATAACAATCCTACAATAATAAGCATCTGCTTTACAGATTTTACGTATACCATAACAAAAAATAACTATTTATTCGTTATTATATACAATTACAATGTAATAAGATATTCATATTTCTCATACTTACTTTTCAAATCAGTTGGCTTGCTCTCCAAACCGGTATCTAAAGATCGTTGAGTTTTATTTTTCTGAAACTGAACTGAGAGAGATTGGTCTTCATTTCCATGAAGAGAATGCGATTGAACCTGAATTATTTACAAATATATAGAACAAATATTAAAATTTAGTTGGTACGTCCATTATATCATGGTCACCTTATAAGTGATGAGAAGAAGAATGTTCCTCAGGTTGTTCGTTAACTATCATTTAGACTGAAAGGAGCTCATCTGTCTTCGCACTGACAATTTTTTCTTCAGATACCTTAAACAGACGTCTGTGACACCTTGAAAGAACTTTTGACAGTCGATGATTCATTTGAAACAAAAAGTGGATCGAAAATTACATTCCAGTGAGCTGATTTTCGAATAATAATCAGATTCAGAATAATGTTTGACCGATTCGAACTCATCAGCTTTTATTCAAGCACTTATCGTCTCAAATCAACTTACGAATTTCACAAGATTAAATATATTGAAACAACCAGGAATATAAAAACTGAGTACAGAGCCATAAATTTGATTTTTTTTTCCTTCAATATAATCACATGAGGCAATCTAACTATTTATGTTATGTATTCCCCGTTAGTTGTGCATTAAACTTAAACTAGGTATTATGTTTTACTGTTAAAAACAATGAATGAGATTTTTTAAATTTTGGTTTCATGAGGATGTATCTATGATTTTTTGTAAATGGATACCTTTAACCTCTTAACAGTTTTAATTACTTGACTCTTAGGTACAAATAATGACATTACCAGTGAGATATTTCGGCTGACTTACATTGCTAATAAGTACTATTCGGTATACTACTCATCATATCCCACCAACGATTGTCCCTAAAACATTTACTAGTATGTTGATACATTACATCTAGAAATTAACTGATAAAATATGTCAAGTTCTGAAGACTACAAAGCCTATCACAATTTATCACCGGGTAACAGAATAACCATATATTAACGGTATTTATTTTTCTTCTTATGTTTTATGTTTCATTGAACTTCACTTTTAAAGTATATACAAAATAAAACATATTCTTTTCTAGTCCTAATCCTTATCAAGTAAACATGGAACAGTCGCTTATTAGTTATGAAGTTTGATTTCCAGCCAATAGTTCCCAGCTGTGAACTCAGCTTCATCTACAAGATCAGGATCAGGTAGTATCACTAGCCACAAACATTTACATACACTTAGAATCTGGCTCGAAGTCTGATACATTACCTTATACCTAGTAAATGAGTGCAATAATAACTAGATATTAGATAACCAGTTTATAACATTAAAGTTAATAATTCTTTATTCACATACATTCCCAGTGAATAAATGAGTAGATTGAAAAATCCGTAGGTGATGTACGCCTAAATATTGGTCACAGAATTCAGATGTAATGCATTTATTAACGCTAAGGAAAAATTGAAGATGGTTAGACTTAGTCCATTAAAGAAAACTAATACTTAAATCTTTACCATGTAAGTTTGTTCTATGTAAGAAATATTACACTTGGTACTCAGTTTACATAAACACAACTTTCGTTATCGACTGAGATTATTGTTGCCAATTATTTATAAAATATTGCTCAGTGACATGCTACTCATCAGTATACACAGAAAAATTCCTTAACTCGAGTCCTGTGACGAACGTAAAATATTGGAGTCATTGATTCGGGGTCTGATAATAATCTTCAAGACATTTTAAGATTGACGAATTCTACACTGAATTCTATGTGAACATTGTCATAGTGCCCCGAACTAGAAGGTGACTATTTTCTAATACTTTAGGTTTTAACTTGTTCATCATATGGTGTAAGTTCTCAGTGAAATCCATTTATTAGTTTTAAAAAACTTATATCAAAAAACTTGTCTGATTTTTTAAATTAGTAATGGTTCATATGAAAGTGACATTTTTAACACTTTGTAAATCCAAAGTCTGCTAATACACTTAAAAACATCAATCGCATAAATTAACAAATAGAAACTGAATAGATTTGCTTCCGAACTTCACTTATCCGATAAGGAGAATTTACGTGGAATGTCTATTTTATACGATCAATCTAATTTCAGGATTATGCGCTCATTTTTGTATGACACCGTTTGAACTGCTAATTTTCCTGATGACATATGAACAATGATACTAATAATCACAGTTATTCCATTAAGAAGTTATCAAAGAAAGAAAAAAAAGTTGTCATCGCTTACAATGTATGTCAGTTTTAAGACTTGTAGTTTGCTTCTTCAAATTAAGTGGGTTTTTTAATTCATGTTCATAATTCGAATGTACGGCTTCATGAAGAAAACTAATCATAGAGTGATTTATTCACTAATTTATTAAGTATATAAATTTTTATAGATGTAATATATCTACATAATCTAAGATATACACAAGATTCTAAATTTAAGGACTATAGTAATTGGTCAATCAATTGTATCCACAAAATCTCTACAAACTAAAGGGCAAATTGGTAAAAAGAAATATTATCACAAAGATAGGTTACATCAACGATGAAACAAAATACACCGTATAAGAAATCCATCCTCTTTGATTCGGTCTATGTAAACACAATAATATGTCTTCACTTGTTTAAATGAATGTAGATAACTGCAGACACAAATTACTCTGAGGAAATATCTTAAAAGTAAAGTTAAACATGAAGAAATTCCAAGAGTTTTGTTTTTGTAAACTTGACTCCCAGTTTACTCAGTAATCAATAAACAAATGATAAGAGACTCAATCTGCAAACTAGTTCAAACATCAAGTCAAAGTAAAGAATTAATGAAAACAAATTTTCAAACAGTGATAGCTCAGTCAATCCACCTTATTTAATACAGATTAACATAAAATGTCCACTATTTTGAGGTTAAAGAGATCGCTTTTGTTTACAAATACAAATACAATGAATAATTCATAAGTAAACTATCCATCTCAACGAATCCAAATGCTACTGATATAATCTGTCTCAACTATAAACTTTCTTTACCATGAAAATCAGATGGTATCATCTATAAATATCGAAGATGTTATGAAATTCAATAAAATTCATCTTTTCTCATCAAAATTATATCACTTAACAAAAAACAAAACTAAATAAAGTTGATTTGAATCGACAACTGCATCTCTGTGCTAAGGTGGTGTGGCAACTCGAACTGATGTACGTACGTACGAAGTTCTACGTTGTTACTGACTGACTGACTGATTTATCAAAAAAAAATTTTAAAAAATTAAATCACAATCAATTAAATTTAATCATTATATGTGAAAATTATCATTTGAACTAATCTCAGTGATCGAAATTTTGAAAAAATTCCAACGTTTCGTCCAGTTAACTTGTCTGAACTTCTTCAGGGTAATAATCAAAATCAACGCATATCACTCAGAAATATTTATTTAACAATCGATAACGAAAGTTGTTCTTTATATTTTGATTATTATCCTGAAGAAGTTCAGACAAGTTAGCTGGACGAAACGTTGGAATTATTTTAAATTCTAATCGTTAAGATTATTTCAAATAATAATTTTCACATATAAGGACTTCTCTATATTCGGTGCCTGGTTTCTATTGAACTATTCATTCTAATCTTGAAGAATATTTGTATAATTTAAATTTAAGATAAAGTACTTCACTACTTGAAATGAATGAACTTTTTGATCGTTTGTTTACTTATTTGAATGTTCAATATTTTTATTTAACTTTTCTTGAAGTGTTTCTTTGTGGTCATTAAAACAATAAAACAAATTCTAATTTCATATTGAATTCTTTAATAAAATTTATATAATACACTTCAATTATCAATGAAAATTAATTAACAAATTACATTTAATGTGTGGATGAATTTTTTTTAAAACATCGAACATAATGCAGTTCTTCATGTGCCCATACTTTCGTTTAGGATAATAAGCTACAAGACAAAGAACGTTTGAAATAAGCAAGCACCACTGCATATACAATGAACAAATGCTGTGCGATTTCAATTTACTATAGATGTTTATGATATTTTATCGTAATGACTAGTCACTATGAAGATCACTTAGTACCAACTAATCAATATTATCAAATAGCTGTTGTAGAAATAAAAGTTAGTTTTCATTAAAGATGAATCCTTAATAAAGATAATGAATTTTTGAACGTATTCATTTAGTGAATTGTGTTACTAACTATTAAAGAAAGATTATTATAAAAGTCAATTAATAAAAGATTATATTAATGTACAAGTAGATAGTTCACATCATCAGTTATATTAACATGTCTTCCAAGATGAACATATTGTATTTTTTGTTTCCTCATTTTATATTGTTGAAAATGATATAAAATCTATTCATGTTGTGGTGCGTGCTACTTATATTGATGTTAGTATATGACACAAGTTAAAAACGTGATGTCTGGCAGCAGAAGATGGGGGAAGATCAAGAAAGGAAGTGCGCGAACACAATGAAATTTGTAAGAAAACGGATGAACAATGAAATGTGAGACAATGGATTGATGTTTGTAACAGGAACAGTCCATGTTGATACGATGGATTGATATTTTGTAAATTAACGATTTACTATATTGTTTTTCTATTTTAACAAGTAACTCTGTAATTTTGTGCTAAATACAATTCGGTTGTCCTCACCGGTGTTCTCCTTCACTACAATATCAGTTACTTTGCTTTATTCATGAATATTTACTGATGAGTTATAAGTAGTATAATGATTTTTTGATAAATTTATAATAGTTCATTTGCTTTTTGACTATTAAAAGCTAATAAGCTGATTGTTAGAACAAATCTATCACTAATATTTCTGTTGCTACGACACTTACTATGTAGAAGTCTGAAAAAAACCTCTATTGATATTTTTACATAACATTTCAACCTTTTAACTAAAGAAGTAAGTACAAGTTTTAGTAAGACTGAATTATAGTTAGTAGTGAAACCCATAATGAGCGGAAATTTTCATTTGGTACTCATCAGTTAGATTTATCTGTATCCCATTGCTGATGTTCATAGTGGAGTTTGATAAGTTGGTACTAAGTGATCTTCATAGTGACTAGTCATTACGATAAAATATCATAAACATCTATAGTAAATTGAAATCGCACAGCATTTGTTCAT